GTGCAGGAGGTGGCCAGTCGATGTTCTGTCTCATCCATGTTTCTCTCTCTCTCTCCCTCTCCCTTCCTCTTTTTCCAAAACCAATAAAGGAAAAAAATGTTTAAAAAGGGAAGTTATTTGTCTTTTAGAAGCTTCTTCTTATCAACCAAAGAATGTATCCCATTGTCCCCAAAAGTCTGGACCCTTCTCCTTGCAAAGTCTCTTTCTTATGACCGAGAAAAGAACAGGAAGTAAAAGAACACAGTCAAATGAGTTCCCTGACCAGGAAAACCCCTGTAGAGCGATTCACCCACTGGGACACTTGTGAGAAGCGTGACAGCCGTGTAAAGTCCCTCTTGAAAAAAAAACGATGCTGTGGGTAGCGAGTTCCCACAGCACCCCGCTACTTGCTAGCATCTGGACAATGATCCCTGGGGAAATGGCCCCCTGTAAGAAAAAACCCTCCCCTGAGGGAAAATCCCCTCCTGACCTCAAATAAAGGCATTTGACCTCAACCAGGAAACAGAAGGAGGTCTGGACGTCAGAGGGGTCCACAGTCAGGGAGACAGTCGTCCCCGGAAGCGGCCGGCACAGTAAAGGTTCAGTAGTTACCACCCCTGTCTCCAGGGGACACCAGCACATGCAGGTGAGGCCAGGTCAGACCTCACTCCTAACACCAGATATGTTCACCTAAAAATAAAAGGCTGTTCTAAGTGAGAGACAACAAGCGTTTATTTGAGATCAAAGAATAGCTATTTGGGAATCACGGGTTCAGGCAGAAGCCCAAATAATGTTCCAGTTGGGAGACAAAGGCAGGGATTTTGATGAGAAAGGGGAGGGAGCAACTCCATCCATAGAAGGTAGGCATTGCTATTGGTGCCGATCACATGACACAGTGACGTTGATGCTAAACAGTGTCTTTAATTTTCAGTCTGGTAGTCACCAGTCCAGTAGTTGTAATATTTGCTTTCAGGTTATCCCTGCAAACCGTTCTTTGAGAAACAAGGTTGCTCAGGCCCAGTGCGGAGGTTATCTGGCCCAGTTTGAGCATCCCAAAGATGTGAGGCATAAGTTCCAGCTCCATTTTAAAATCTTTTTTTTTTCTTTATTGATTTTTTAGAGAGAGAGGAAGGAAGAGGGAGAGAGAGAGAAACATCGATGAGAGAGAACATTGACTGGCCGCCTCCTGCATGCCCCCCACTGGGGATTGGGCCTACAACCTAGGCATGTGCCCTGAACGGGAATCGAACAGGCGACCTCTTGGTGCAGGGTTGACACTCAACCACTGAGCCACACTAGCTGGGCTCCAGCTCCATTTTATTTGCTTTTTATCCTCACCCGAGGACATTTTTGCATTTATCAGATAGAGCAGGAGGGAGAGAGGGGGGAAGAGAGAGAAACATTGATGTGAGAGAGGCACATCAACTGGTTGCCACCCACACAACCCAACTGGGGCCAGGGACACACTGCAACCAAGGTATATGCCCTTAGCAGGAACCGAACCTGGGACTCTCTGGTCCGTGGGCCAACGCTCTAACTGCTGAGCCACACGACCAGGACTCCAGCTCCATTTTATTTATTTATTTATTTTTTATCCTCACCCGAGGTCATTTTTCCATTTTTTGTTCAGATAGAGCGGGAGGGAGAGAGAGAGAGAAACATCGACGTGAAGGGACACATCGAGTGGCTGCCACCCGCACGACCAACCAGGGCCGGGGACAAACTGCAACCGAGGTACATGCCCTTAGCGGGAACCGAACCCGGGTCTCTCTGTACCGCAGGCCGACGCTCCAACCGCTGAGCCAAACCGGCCAGGGCTCCAGCTCCATTTTAAAGTGGCTTTGTCTGGCCTGGCCGGTGTGGCTCAGTGGATTGAGTGCCCTCCCATGGACTGAGAGGTCCCCTTTCAATTCCTGGTCAGGGCACATGCCTGGGCTGCAGGTTCGATCCCCCACAGGGGCCATGCAGGAGGCAGCGATCGATGTTTCTCCCTCACATCGATGTTTCTATTGCTCCCTCCCTTTCTCTCTGAAAAATCAATAAAGCCCTGGTCAGTTTGGCTCAGTGGTTAGAGCGTCAGCCTGCGGTCCAGAGAGACCCGGGTTCAGTTCCCACTAAGGGCATGTACCTCAGCTGCAGTTTGTCCCTGGCCCTAGTTGGGTTGTACAGGTGGCAACCACTTGATGTGCCCCTTTCACGTCGATGTTTCTCTCTCTCTCTCTCTCCCCCTCTCTCTCCCTCCCATTCTATCTGAACAACAACAAAAAAATCAATAAAAACATATTTAAAAAAATAAAGTGTTGCCCTGGCTGGTTTGGCTCAGCAGTAGAACGCCAGCCCGCAGACCAATGTGTCGCAGGTTCAATTCCGGCCAAGGGCACGTACCTTGGTTGCAGTTTGTCCCCGGCCCTAATCGGGTCATGCAGGAGGCAACCAGTCGATGTGTCTCTCTCCCATCAATGTTTCTCTCTCTCTCTCTTTCTCTTTTTTTTTTTTTTTTTATCCTCACCCGAGGATATTTTTCCATTTTTTGTACAGATAGAGTGGGAGGGAGAGAGAGGAAGGGAGAGAGAGAGAGAGAAACATCGACGTGAAGGGACACATCGAGTGGCTGCCACCCGCACGACCAACCAGGGCCGGGGACAAATTGCAGCCGAGGTACATGCCCTTAGCGGGAACCGAACCCGGGCCTCTCCCGACCGCAGGCCGACGCTCTAACCGCTGAGCCAAACTGGCCAGGGCCCTTTCTCTTTCTTTCTCTCCTTCTCTCTCCCTCTCACTCTGTCTGAAGATAAATGCAAAAATGTCCTTGGGTGAGGATAAAAATAAATAAATAAAGTGGCTTCGTCCGTATTATTGTTTTCACTCCTCACTCTCTCTTCTTTTTTTTTTTTTTATCCTCACCTGAGGAAATTTTTCCATTTTTTTTTTGTTCAGATAGAGTGAGAGGGAGAGAGAGAGAGACATTGACGTGAAAGGGACACATCGAGTGGTTGTCATCCCCACAACCCAACCAGGGCCGGGGACAAACTGCAACCGAGGTACACGCCCTTAGCGGGAACCGAACCTGGGTCTCTCTGGACCACAAGCCGACGCTCTAACCGCTGAGCCAAACCGGCCAGGGCCTCACTCCCTCTTCTTATCACATTTCTGTCATCCAACTCCCAGCCATGCCCGCCCAGTGTGGCTCAGTGGTTGAGCGCTGACCGTGCACCAAGAGGTCGTTGGTTTGATTCCCAATCAGGGCACATGGCCGGCTTGTGGGCCTGATCCCCGGTAGGGGGCATGCAGGAGGCGGCCAATCGATGTTCTCTCTTATCCATATTTCTGTCTCTCTCCCCTCTTCCTTCCTCTCTCTCTCAAGTTAAAAACAAAAACAAAAACAAAAAAACAAATCTCACCCATTTGCTGCTTCTCCTCGTCTAGGCCACCACCTGGAAACATTACGGAATAAATCATGCCCTCCTACCCTTTGCGGGGCTGACGTGCTAGTGGGAAGGAACAGAAGGAAACAAACCTCAAAGGTAAAAGAAGCCAGTAACACCACAGGTGGGAAGTTCGAGGTGCTATGGGACATGACAGTGCCCCCAGATAGCTTCAGCTTGGACAGGAGGAGCCCCGGGTAGTCAGAGTAGCCTCCCACAGGCCTCTTGCCTTGTGAAGCCCGATGTGGGCGCTCCGACCCACACACCCACCAGCCCGTGAGGTGTGGCCTCTGTCCAGCATGAGACAAGGACGCGTTTGGCTCTGTGTCTGCCTCTTCGTTGGAGAACGTCAGTGCAGGTATGTTTGTGAGCTCAGACCCTGCTGTGTCTGCAGCACCCAGACCCGGCCCCTACATGACCAGGGCTGTTTGAATTCATCTCTGTCCAGACTCCCAAAGGAGCCTCACCCTGAGAGCCAGGCAACGACCCACCTTGAGCAAAGCCCAGCCGGGCTCCCCTCAGCCCTCTGCTCCCTGTGGCCGCACCCAGTACTAGTACAGTCCCCACCTCTGAGGCCTCATCACCCTGCCCGGCTGGGAGCAGGAATCCTGTCGAGTCAGTTTAGCAAGAACCACCCCACCGGTGACTCGTGATGTCTCCTCTCGGCAGCCTCCCTCCCTGACCGCCCCCGCCGAGGAGAGACGGTTCCATGACGGGACTGCCGCCCAACCGTGAACGGGACCCAGGCCAGAGCGGGGGTTTGCTACGGCAACCCTGCAGACACCAATCCCAGCTGGAGTTTGTTCTGACCTAAGTTGGCACCCTTCCCCGACCCCCTGCTGTGTGCGGTCCCTGGAACAGGCCCTGTCCTGACCTGGTCAAGCGTGCAAAGTGATTTCTGTACCTGGGAGCATTCCTGCACTAGTACCTGTGACCACCCCGCCCCTACCCTGCCAAGCTGTGCAGGGACCCGTTGGGTCTTGCAGCCGCCCACGGCATGCCTCCTATGTGCGTTTCCCTTCATAAACTCTATTAATTACCAGACTTGAGCGGCAGCCTCTTCATTGGGTAGATTTCCAGTGCAGGGGCTTTCCCCATATCTGCTGTAAGAACACCCTGCCCCCCACTATGCTCCTGCCCCTCACTATGCTCCTGGCTGTATTCTGGTGGAGCCCAACCTTGCCCCTGCTACAACCATGTTTGGTCAAGTCTTTCTTCCCATTGTAACACGTGTCAGAGTATGTTTTCCTGAAACAGGGCCCTGCCCAGAATCCCAGGTGCCTGAGGTGATGGGGGTAGCGTCCGGGTTCCGCCCCCTGGCCGGAGGGCCCTGTGGTGGGCATGGCTGTGTTTGAAGCCTGTGGGACACAGTGGCAGGACCTCCCAAGCAGGCCAGCTGTCCGGGAGGGAGTCTCAGCTCAGGGGGAAGGGGCTGGGCTGCTCCTGTGCTGACACATCACTTCTTGGAGGCCGGGAGCAGGGTGGATGGTCACTCATTACCAGGGGCCCAGGTCAAGGGGCTGGGTGGTGTCTGGTCACTTATTTAACCTGTGGGCACATATAAGGGCACACGGCCTGGTGGGCTCCTGCCCACCTGCCCGCTCTGCTCCCTCTTAGGATGAAGGTGGCTGTGGTGAGTCCCCCAGGCCCTGTGCAGACCGGCCCCACTGACCACTCACCAGTGGCCCCTTCCCAGCCTGCTCTTCCTCTTGGGACCACCGGGCTCCCAGTGCACCCAGGTCCTGGGACGGCGATGGGAGTAGGGTCTGTGCCCCACACAGCATCCTCCTGGGAGCAGGCCCCCGGATGACGTCCTCTGCAGACTAGGCCTGGCCAGGGCTGCTGGCCGGTGCGGGACCGGAGACGCGTGTGCTGTGGAGGGCTGTGCTCTGGGGCAGCCACGGGCCTCGGCCACTGTCTCCAGGTTTAGCCAGGCTCATGTCCTTGGTGGGGTCCCTGCTTCCTGACAGAGCTGGCATCATGGTGAAATGTTTCCCTCCTCACCCAACCAGGGCCCAGACCCTTCCCTGGTCTATAGGCCTGAGGTGGACCCAGAGGCAGCCAAGGACAAGGGCAGCTTCCGGAACTACACCGTGAGGACCCTGCCCCACCCTGGAGGAACGGGGTCCTGGACCCCTAACCTCCCTCCTTCCGAAGCCCCACCCCAGCCCTACCTCCCAAGCCTGACCCCCTTGGCCCCCCCAAACCCCTTCTGGCCCCGTTCCAACCCAGGATTGTGCCCTCCTGCCCACCCCACCCAGCCCAGCCCTTCCCTGGGGAGGGCAACATTATCCTGGGCACAGGTGCAGGTCAGGCCCCTGGGGAAGCCCCGTTCCTCCTGTGGGGCCAGCCCTGGGAGAGGGGAGGCAGTGGACCCCGGGTGTGAAGCCCAGGGGTTGGCAGCTGCCTGGCTGACCCTCTGCAGTCCGGCCCGCTCCTGGACCGTGTCTTCACCACCTACAAGCTCATGCACACGCACCAGACGGTGGGCTTCGTCAGGAGGAAGGTACCTGGCTGCCTCTTGTGCCACACTCAGGGTGGGGCTGCCCCCCCGAGTGCGGAGTGGACGGAAGTGGACTGGCCCTGGTCCACCCCGTGGCCCTGCTGACTCCGCCCTCCTGGCACAGCACGCCCAGTTCCAGAGCTTCTCCTACAAGAAAATGACTGTCTTGGAGGCTGTGGACATGCTGGACGAGCTGGTAGACGAGTCGGACCCCGATGTGGACTTCCCCAACTCCTTCCATGCCTTCCAGACGGCTGAGGGCATTCGGAAGGCCCATCCTGACAAGGGTGCGCCCCTCCTGGGCTCTGGGGGGGGAGGCCTCGCTGCCTCCAGGGCTGGTGGGGGGCAGACGGGCTGCCCTTTCCCAGTAGACCCTGCCCTGCCTGCTGCTCCCCTACGCTGGCCCCAGCACCCTGCCAGCCGGTCCTGTTCTTCTCCCTCCAGACTGGTTCCACCTCGTAGGGCTCCTGCACGACCTGGGGAAGGTCTTGGCTCTAGCGGGGGAGCCCCAGGTGAGGGCAGGGACGGAGGGGGCATGGCGGGGGTGGGGCCGGGACAGCCTCCGCTCTGGGCTTGGGGCACCCACTTGGTGGGCAAGCCGGTCATGCCCACTCATGGCTGCCTGTCCGTCCCCAGTGGGCGGTTGTTGGAGACACCTTCCCGGTGGGCTGCCGCCCCCAGGCCTCTGTGGTGTTCTGTGACTCCACCTTCCAGGACAACCCTGACCTCCAGGATCCTCGATACAGGTGCCCCTCCACCGCTGCCGGTCCTCCCCATCCCCAAGGTGCTTCTGAGCCCCTCACCCTCCATCTCTCTCTGCAGCACAGAGTTCGGCATGTACCAGCCACACTGTGGGCTTGAGAATGTCCTCATGTCCTGGGGCCATGATGGTGAGGCTGGTTAGAGGTGGCAGGGATGCTCGGCCCACGGTGGGGACCAACCCCTGGGTGCCTGGTGGTGACCCCCTCTCTCCCACAGAGTACATGTACCAGATGATGAAGTTCAACAACTTCTCCCTGCCCCCAGAGGTAGGTGTGTGTGTGGGGGGGTGCACGCTGAGAGCCCCCCCCCAACCCGCCCACTCTGGGTGTGGCCTCTTCCTGTCCTCAGGCCTTTTACATGATCCGGTTTCACTCCTTCTACCCTTGGCACACCGGCGGCGACTACCGGCAGCTGTGCAGTGAGCAGGACCTGGCCATGCTGCCCTGGGTGCGGGAATTCAAGTACAGCCCTCCCCATGGGGTTGGGAGGGTGGGGAGAGGGGCTGGGGCTTCCCATGAGTCACTGTCCCCCCCTTGCTGCAGCAAGTTTGACCTGTACACCAAGTGTCCCGACCTGCCGGACGTGGACAAGCTGCGACCCTACTACCAGGGGCTCATTGACAAGTATTGTCCTGGGGTCCTGAGCTGGTGACTGGCCTGCCCACCCTGCTCGGCCTGGCTGGGTGCCCCAGGGGGACAGCCACTGTCAGGCACAGTGACAACCCACCCCAGCCTCTCTGGGGACTCCCAACACCCACCTGCCATCTGTGCTCCCCACCCTCATGTCCTGTTGCTTGTTGGCAATAAACCTTGAAGCAGCCGGAGTCTGAGCCTCACTGAGCCGTGTGAGTTATGGCTGCAGGGCCGTCTGTGTGCAGGGAGGCAAGCCCATGTCCCCTTGGACATGTGCCTGTTGCCATAAACATCTTGCTTGTCCTCCCCGCTCCCACGTCGGAACCTGGGGTCACCCTAGTCACCCCCCCTTTCTCAAAACAGTCGCCAAGTCCTCTGGGCTCAGTCTCCTTCAGAACAAAACAAAACACCTCAGAGATAAACAACACACTACAGAAGCACAGAAGGAGTGCACAGGGTAACTGCTATGACGATGCCCACGAATACGCCCCAGGGCCCTCCCTGCCCCCCAGGTGCAGCCCCACCTTGACCCGGTCACTTCTCCTTTCATGTGGTTTCATCCCCTGTGTGCCCCTGAGACCACAGCTTAGCTGGCTTCCCCTCTGCCTCTGGCCGTTTGTTTCTCTGAAGAAAGTGGCTCATTTGTTCAGGGAATTTTCTTCTGTCAGGACTTGCTGACTGCAGACCCGTGGTAACTATTGCTACTTCGTTGATATTTCCTGCTAATTGGTAAATAGATCTGGAGGCCTGATCAGATTCCGTTGTGGCTTGTTGGGGGGCAAGAGCACTTTAGAGGTGGTGGCGTGTTCCTCAGTTTCACTAAGAACGCCCTTAACCCCTAAGAGGGCTGGACCCACCGGTTTGGCTGCATCTCGCCCACACTCTTCAGAGGACCCTGCGGAAGCTCCTCCTCCTGCTAATTGGTTACTGTTTCTGTAGGAAAAGCAAGTACACGCCGGTCTCTTAACTTACCAGTTTGCAACATCCTCCAAGAGACAAAGTTGTCTGTTTTTGTGTTAAGAACGTTTAGATTTCGGTAGGTTTATGCTTCAGTTCATTGAATCGTTGTCCCTACTGGAGCTCAGCCCCGTCCTCACCAGTCCTGTGACAGGACCTCAGCAGCCTCTGGGGATGTCTTGCTGTCCGTCTGCTGTGACGTGACACCTAGACCGTTCGTCTCCTGTGCCTGACATGACACGTTATCCCAAACTCGTTGGCTTGAAACAACACGTTTATTCTCCGAGATCAGGGTGTCGGCAGGGCCTGCTCTCCCAGAGGCCCTTGCTTTTTCCAGCTTCAGGTGGGTGACGCATCACCTGGCCCTCTGCCTCTCCCGCTCTTTTTTCCATTTAATTTTTAAAACACGTGTTTTTATTGATTTTTTTTTTTTTTTAGAGAAAGAGGAAGGGAGAGATATAAACATCGACGTGAGAGAGAAACATCCATCACCTGCCTCCTGCACGCCCCCTAATGGGGATTGAGCCTGCAACCGGGCATGTGCCCTGACTGGGAATCGAACTGGGACCTCTCAACCTGTGGGACCAGCTTAATCCACTGAGCCACACTGGACAGTTATTCTTTTTATTCTTTATTGATTTTAGACAGGAAGGGAGAGAGAGACAGAAACATCAATGAGGGAGAACATTGACTGGCTGCCTCCTGCATGCCCCCCACTGGGGATTTGGCCCACAACCGGGCCATGTGCCCTGACCGGAAATCGAACGGCGACCTCTTGGTGCATGGGTTGACGCTCAATCACTGAGCCACAGCAACTGGGCCAGGCAGTTCTTCTTGTTCTTTTTTTTGTATCCTCACCTGAGGACACTTTTGCATTTATTTTCAGATAGAGCAGGAGGGAGGGGGGAGAGAGAGAGAGAAACATCGATGTGAGAGAGACACATCAACTGGTTGCCACCCACATGACCCCTACCAGGGCCGGGGACAAATTGCAACTGAGGTACATGCCCTTAGCGAGAACCAAACCCCGGTCTCTCTGGTCTGCAGGCCAATGCTCCAACCGCTGAGCCGAACCGGCCAGAGCAGTTATTATTATTCTTACGTCTCCATCCTTAAGTATGGGTCTTTTTAATCTTTTGGGTGACAAAATGAGAAGACTGCTTCTGCCGAATACTGAACACAACAGTTGCCTCAAGGAAAAGCTCAGCTGGTGTTTCCAGCTCAACCAGTGAGTTTTACTTGGAAGGACCATAGACAAACTACAGTCATTCAGTCTTAGATATTTCACAGGCATTGTTTTGTGTGTGTGTGTTTTTAATTTTATTTATTTTATTGTTTTTCGAGGGAGAAAGGAAGAGCGAGAGAAATACTGATGTGTTGTTTCACTTATTCATGCATTCATTGGTTGATTCTTTTATTTATTTATTTATTTATTTATCCTCACCCGAGGATATTTTTCCATTTTTTGTACAGATAGAGTGGGAGGGAGAGAGAGGAAGGGAGAGAAAGAGAGAAACATCGACGTGAAAGGGACACATGGAGTGGCTGCCACCCGCACGACCAACCAGGGCCGGGGACAAACTGCAACCGAAGTACGTGCCCTTAGCGGGAACCGAACCCGGGTCTCTCCGGACCGCAGGCCGACGCTCTAACCGCTGAGCCAAACTGGCCAGGGCTATTGGTTGATTCTTATATGTGCCCTGACCGGGGATCAAAACAGCAACCTTGCCATATCGGGACTATGCTTTAACCAACTGAGCTACGCAGCCAGGGCCAGCGGGCATTTTCTTAAACATGAATGAAGGGACACTCACTCCCAGGGAAACAGTGACAGCATTTGTTGCCAATGATAAAATTGAGCTTTTCAGCACATACTGGGATTTGGGGAAAACTGTGTGTAGTGTAAGCCCTGATCGTTGGCTTTGGTAAGGCAAAGGCCTGACTTAAACTGATTGCAGAGGCCTCTGCTTCAAAGAGGCACGGCTTCAGATGTGAGGGTGATCTGACGGCGACACTGGTCACCCCATTGATGGCCAGGTTGACTCGGCCGATCTGGCTGGCTAGGCCAGTGTCCCCTCCTCCCTCACTGATCCATGTGCGTCCCTCCCGAAGCTGCACTCTCGGTCGAAGAGAATGGCCGTCCCCCGGAGGAGAGAACCGGTCTTCAGCCAACGGTGTACGAGTAGCTGCCCTCCCCTGCTAGAACCTCCAGACAAGCTCTCAGGAGGCATGACCTCAAAGGAGCCACTTGGAATACACAGGGTGCCAACCACAGGGCCAGATAAAAGGCAAGGCCAACTCCCCCCAACCCAGGCTGCTTTGTTTTAAGAGATATTGGTTGAGCCCTGGCCGGTTTGGCTCAGCGGTTAGAGCGTCAGCCCGCAGACCAATGAGTCTTGGGTTCGATTCTGGTCAAGGTCATGTACCTCAGCTGTGGTTCGTCCCCAGTCCTAGTCGGAGGCCCTGGTCGGAGTCGTGCGGGAGGCAATCAGTCAGTGATGTGTCTCTCTCACGTCGCTGTTTCTCTGTCTCTCTCCCTTCCGGTCTGTCTGAAGATAAATGAAAAAAATGTCCTCAGGCGAGGATTAAAAAAAATAAAATAAAGAGATATTGATTGATTTCGATAACTGACCATTTTAGCTACTTGTCTTTTTTAGTTCTTCTTTCACTCCAAATACTCCTCTTACGCTTTACGTTCAACTAAGAGTGAGCCCACGAAATCCTAGGACCCACCTCGACACCAATAAAAGCAGCACCCGGCCCCATGTGCTCTCTCTCTCCTTTCTATGAGCCTCCTGACACACCTTGCACACTGCAGGGCCTGTAAGTAATACACTTAAAAAAATTTTTTTTTCTTTATTGATTTTAAGATAGAGGAAGGGAGAAGGAGAGAGAGATAGAAACATCGATGTGAGAGAACATCGATTGGCTGCCTCCTGCATGCCCCCCACAGGAGATCGGGCCCACAACCTGGGCATGTGCCCTGACCAGGAATCAAACCGGTGACCTCTTAGTGCAGGGTCGATGCTCAACCACAGAGCCACACCGGCCAGGCTGTAATAAACCTTTTTTTTTTTTTTTCAAAGTTTCCTGATGGTTATTGATGAAGGGCACCTTGCTCTCATGACAAACACAAGGATCTGTCCAGTGGTAACTTGGGTTTAATTTTTTTTTTTTTATCCTCACCCGAGGACATTTTTTGATATTTTGTTCAGATAGAGTAGGAGGGAGAGAGAGAGAGAGAAACATCGACGTGAAAGGGACACATCGAATGGTTGCCACCCACACGACCCAACCAGGGCCGGGGACAAACTGCAACCGAGGTACATGCCCTTAGCGGGAACCGAACTCGGTCTCTCCGGACCGAAAGCCGACACTCTAACCGCTGAGCCAAACTGGCCAGGGCGGTAACTTGGGTTTAAGAAGAGGAGATAGCCCTGGTGGGTTTGGCTCAGCGGTTAGAGCATCAGCCTGCGGTCCAGAGAGACCCGGGTTCGGTTCCCACTAAGGGCGCGTACCTTGGTTGCAGTTTGTCCCCGGCCCTAGATGGGTTGTGCGGGTGGCAACCACTTGATGTGTCTTCACGCCGATGTTTCTCTCTCTCTCTCTTCCTCTCTCTCCCTCCCACTCTATCTGAACAAAAAATGGAAAAATGTCCTCAGGTGAGGATAAAAAAAATAAAAAGAGTGGATTCTTTAAAAAAAAAAAAGAGGAGATATCTGTGGGAAATTCACCTGGGCCCAGGTGAGTGGGCCCAGCTGAGTGCCCCCAGCTATTTCTAGCTGATAGAGTTACTATGGATGGACTGAGATCAGTAGGTGTGTCCACTACTGTGAACTTGACAGCTTACTCATAGTTAAAGGTTTTTCTGATGGGATCGATAGTGATATTAATGAATGTGATTGTTTTGAGATTTTGCAATGCGATGTGTCAACATTTGGATGATCTGCATAATCCCATGAACTAATATTTTCCAAAGAATGCTCCAAAATCATGCAAGCCGCACCAACGGATTTTCATGGGACAGAGAACAAAAATTTCATTGGTATAGTTTCAAATCCCAAATTGCAATGAACCCCTATGAAACTACTCCTTA